ACAAAACAAAAAAAATTCAAAAAATAAAAACAGAATAAAAAAAAAATAAATTCTAAAAGAAATTATGTGAAAATAAACAGAAGTAAGGGTGCGGTGTGCGGCTATGGCGCTTTACTGCGGTTTAAGTGAGCGTGTGTTACATAATTATGCAGTAAAAGTAATTAAAAGCAGGGAGCGACAAAACAGCGACACAAAAAGCATGAAACTGCATAAACATAAACGGTGGCGAAAATTAAAAGGACAAAAAGATAGAAAGCAAGAATAAGAAAAATTGTGTGTGAGCAGAGAAAATGCTAAAAATAGAATTTAATTGAAAGCGGGAGCACAAGCGGTAAACGCAAAGGAGACAAAAATTAAATGGGAATGAAAGCGCGCAAACGAAACGTGTTTAAAGTGGCGCGTGGAAAAAATTGTAAAAAGTCACGTGTGAGAAAACGAGCAAACTGACGCATAATTGCAGGCGTATCTACCAACACACACACGCATAGACGTAAAAGTAAGCGAAATTGTTTAGACAGCATGAGCAGACGCGCGTATTAAAGCACACGTGCACACATTTTAACCACATTTTGTTTGGTTATTGCGTGCGTGTTTGTGCCTGTGCTTGCACACATGTTGGCCCTTAAAAGCGCTTGCGGTGATAGCAGTCTTCTTTTTCGCTTTTGTTTTTGTTGTGTGCGCGTCTGCTGTGCCTGAGCGTGACATTAAATTGACGACAATTTAACGCAGTACGCAATTTCGCACAGACACTTGAAAAATGTGCGACCATGCGTGCGAAAATAATGCCAGACGCACACAGAGGCACGCGGGCACACGGTGACATAATTTTCATATACCCTGAAGGATATGTGAAAAGCGAAGAGGAAGAACATAGTAATACTATCGTAAACATTTCTAGGAAAATGGAATTTTTTTAATAGAGAAAAAAAAACAAAAATTGAAAAAATTTCGAGCTTAACAAGTCGTGCTAAAGAATGAAATAGCACAAGTGGAATATCCTTGAAAATCACTGGTCTGGTTTTACTTTAACAGTTAAAATTTTTTGAATTGAAAACGATTGGATATTGATTGGGTAAAAATTTGTGGAAACGCTGGTACAAGTGAGGAAAAGCATTAAAAACTTTAACACTATAAGAATTGTACGTACAAATTAATTTTTTAAGTTAAATTAAACAATTTAAAATAAAGACTAAAATTAATATTACAGTTAAAACTAATATGAAATAAAAGTATAGTAGAACAAAATAAAGAAAAAGAAAATTTTTAACAAAAATTAAAATTAAGATTAAAATTAAAGCTAAAATTAATATACAAATTATAATTAGAAAAAAGAAATAAAAATTAATAAAAATTCGTATTTCCATTACAATTAAAATTGAAAGCAACATTAAATTTAAAATTAGAATTAAAATTTGTGTTTAAATTAAAATGAAAACTTAAACCTAAAAAAAAAGTAAATTTAAGTTTAAATACATATAAACTAAACAAGATTAAAATGAAAATGGAAATTAAAGCTAAAATTTATATAGAACAAAAATTAAAATTGCAAAAACAATACAATAAAATACAATTTAAGATAAAAAATAAAAATAAAAGTTAAATTAATATGCAAATTATAATTAAAAAATTTAAAATTTAGATAAAATTATAAATTAAAGTTTAACTACAACTAAAATTATATCAAAAAATTAATACAACTTAATATTTTTAATACAATTAATTAAAAATGCAAACATCATGAAAGAAAGTAAATTTTAAAATTAGAACCGGGAGTGAAATTAAAACGGATACTAAAATTAAAGCTGAAATTAACTTACAAATTATAATTAAAAAAATCAAAGTTGAAATTACTACAAATTAATACTTTTGTTACAATAAAAAGTGAAAGGGAAATTAAATAGAAATAAAATATAAAATTACAATTAAAATTAAAAGACAAAATTAAAATCAGTATAAAGAACTCATAAAATATCGAGAAAAAATTGCGTTA